ACTGGATATATAACTTGTGATATTATTTCACATCTTGGATGCTGACTTAGTATTTACTTTTGTAATATCATTTTGTGTAGAATATATGACTACATTTTATACAATTTTTACTGTCATTTGTTGCTCTTTATCTTATTGTGAACTGCAGGAAAAATAAAACTAAAACAATAACGAGCGATAGCTTGTATAGACACAGAACAAAATCTGTTGGATTTAGTTGATGGTATTAAATTAATGCTATGACAGTGGACTCGTATAGAATAAACAATTTTCAGACACAGAAGAGGGGTACAATAAACATAAACATAAATATAAAATAAAGACTTGTTTTGAAATAGTAGGGGCATACAACAGTATATACACGGGCGCCACATAGCGCATTATCTTTCTGTTTTATAGATAACGGAACAATATAGCGTTGTAACATTCCAGACATTGGTATTGGTACAACATAGAATAATTACTTTCTCTTCAACAGATAGTATAATGATAACTATCGGCAATGGACCATTTGGACGCTATAAAACAATAACTTTGTTGGTAATGGACTATTTGGAAGCTATAGAACAATAACTTTCTCTGCAATGGACCATTCGCACACTATAGAACAATAACTAAAAATCTGTACTGTTATCCTACTTATATATATTTCACTAACATCAGAAATAATGTTTATATTTCTATCCTACTAGTATATAACAACATTGTTCTTCTATCAATACCGTGTAAAGTCATGGTGGACGTCAAAAGCGCACCATGACTTTACGCACACAATGTTTGCAACGACATTTTCACAAACGGCACACACGTTACGAAAATGTGTACCTTATAAATAACTACCAGTAGGTGAAAACAGTCTGTTTCAATCACAATATAAATGAACAAAATATACAGCTGTAGAAAATAAATATACAACATTACATTGATAATATTAATAAAAATCGGTAATTATTTACAACTTTGACTAGTCAGTTTATCATCACAGAGCATGCGTAAATATGTGTAAATTGTTTAAAATAAATCAAAGGGACGCAATATATTATGGATTATTGAATATTTGCGAAATTGCTTCCCTTATCGATACTTGCATTTTTGTATGCAAGTTAAGAAAAGTTAAAAAAAAAAAAAAAAGATGATACCGCAGCCATTTGATGACTATGATTGCACTCTGTAGTGTATTCAAACCCAGAATTACTGGTTCTATATGTGACATCCAAGGCCATAGTTAGGATATCTGTGCAATAAAATATTTTACAAGCCCTCTTCCCTTAGCTAAACATTAGCATAGCTATTCGTTTACAGACAAAAAAAAAAAAAAAAACAACAACACAATAATTTGTACAATTTTGCCGCTTAGACCATTTAACGGTGCTGTGCAGCTGCACATGTTGCACACTGGCTAAATACGGCCCTGGTGATTACACTAACCATTGCAATATCACGATGTAAGCCCAATATTCTAAAAGGTAAGTAAAGTAAAGTAAAGATCCCTTTCACGCCTTTAGGCGTATCGGGAATATGGGAAGAGCGCCCATATTTTTACAGACCATCAGCACTCGGTGGGTAATGTGGTCAGCATTACGCCGGTTGTCTTTACTTTCTCAGGACAGCCCATCCTGGTACCCATTTTAGGCTGGGTCGACCTGCGACGTCCCATACCACGATACCAGGAAGTAAATGCGGCCGGTTGGATAATGACCCCATACTCCACTGAGTGCCGATTGGTCTATACCAAGGCTATTCAACTAAGTTTACTCAGAGGCCAAAATGTTGAAACTGGATAGTCGGGGGGGGGGGGGGCGCTCAAACACCAGCATAGACAGAACACTGATACAATACAGCTGGTAACAATCCGCGGGACACTTGTTAGGACCCCGAGGGGTCGCATCTTGAATAACGATGGTCAAATACAATATAGGTCTAGCCCTATGTGCCCTGTACACCTGAATGCGTGGAAAATGGTCTATTACTTAAGTTACTTTGGTACTTAATTTATAACTTACCCCTGACGTCACGACAACGTCACGGGAGACATTCCCAATAAATTGTAGGGTGTTCAGGTTGTAGTTTCTCGCGATTTCTCTACATTAAAGTTTGGGGTTAGGGTTAGGGTTAGGGTTAGAAGAGACTAGATGAACACTCAAAAAAAAAAAAAAAAAAACACACACCACACAACAGCACACTTGCACCCCTTGAAATAATGGACTGTCAGGTCAGTTGTGGATTTCCCACGGGGATTTCCTGTTTGGGGTACGTTATAAATTAAGAACCCTTACTTTTACTAAACCTAATAGAGTGTATAATAAATGTGCAGATTTATTTGTAAGCGAATGAATAAATTAATGATTGCAGGACAGATAAACAAATGAAATAATAAATGAACTGACATGGTTGCACTCGTACATTTTAGAATGTGGTCAATTTCTTTTTCATTAATCAATCAACAGTTACCAGGTGGACAGTGCTAGTGACATTCTGACAAAAAGTTCATAAATCTCTT